GGCTCTGTATGACGTGGAGGACAAAGGCAGAGGGCCATGCCGCCCCTGTGAAGGTGGTGGTCTGAGCCTCATGGGTGCCGCGGAGGCACTGCAGGTCAACGCTCGCCATGGCGGGCGCGGCCCGACCCCCCCACACAAACCCAACCACCCCCTTGCTACCTATCTATGTGTGCCACATGTGTACACACGCTGAGCCATTTGCGCTGCCGGTCGCTTGCTCTTCTTTGTTTGTTATTCACTGCCTGATTGCCATGCCTACCCATTACCCCTACTATTTAATAGCATGGCTACCCATTGTGACAATCATCGACAAGAGTGAAACTTGTTCTTGAAGTACAACCTGGACAAGCCTCTTGGGGGAAGAGACAGGATTCAGCACAGCCATGGCAACGCCCGGCGCCTGCGCCTCCAGCTCAGCGGCAACTTCCTGGCAAGTCCAGTTGGGATTTCGGGGCCTGAAAACTCTTGACCTGCGTCAAGAGCAGGAATGCATTGTTATTAACATTTTCACTAGCATTAGTATGCTCATCAAGCGAAAAAGACGTTCCACAGGAAACTGCTCGCCCGCAACCCCGCCGCGTGAGTGGCCCGACGGTGATTGCTTTCGATGCGGCGCCGCGTGATCGTGAAGGCGCTGCAGAATGCCCGCAGGCGCTCCAGCATGCCCGTCGAGGCTGCCGCTGCCGCCCGCCTTCCTGCACCTGCTGCCGCGGCAACCCGCCGCCCACCGCCAGCCCCTCTTTCTTTCCATGCAGGCACCAGCCCCCAGCTGCCGCCATGACCTTCCCAGCGGACCTCATGCTGCGGGGTGGCACTGCGGTGTGCCGCTCCGTGCTGGGGCAGACCTCCCTTGACATTGAGCTGGCCGCCGCCAGCCCGGCACCTGCCGCCGCCGCTGCCGCTGCCGCTGTTCGCGAGGCCGTGCGCCTCTACCTGGTGTTGGACAACTCGGGCTCCATGGCGGGGTCCCCGCTGGACACAGCCAAGCGCGCCGTCATCAGGTTTGCGCAAGCGGCGCCGGCGGCGGCGGGCGTGATGGAGGCCTGCTGGCTGGTGGAATTCAACACCTCGACCCGCGCCCACAGCCTGCTGGGCCTGGGCGGCGCCCAGATCGAGGAGGCGGTGAGTTGTAGAGCATGATGTGGTGGGATGGCGGTGGCAGCGGCGGCGGTGCAGTTTGGTTCGACTGAGTGCGCCAGCGGGAGCATTCACCGGTCTCACAAGAGGCCCCCTCGCCCCAAGCTTGCTTGCCAACCAGTGCCCCTGCGGCCACCACCGCACCGCAGGTGGGCACCATCCCCGCCGGCGGCAGCACCTGCTTCCATCGCGCGCTTTCCACGCTGGCTGACCTGGCGGCGCCCTCCGCCCCGCTGGGCGCCACCGCAGCCGCCGCCGCCGCGGCAGCCGTCGCGGCCGCCAGGCACTTTGTCGTCTTCTTCTCTGATGGCTGCGACAGCGGCTACGGCGGCGTGGAGGCAGCGTTGGAGTCCCTTCAGGCCAGGCTGGGCGGCGGCAGCGGCGGCGGCAGCGGCGGCGGTGGCGGCACGGGAGCGGAGTGGTGCGTGCACACGCTGGGTTTTGGGCGGGACCACGACGCCGCCTTCCTGTCCAGCCTCACCCTGGCCGGCAGCGCGCCGGGCTCGTTCCAGTACATTCAGAGCATGGCTGAGCAGATGGGCCCTTTCCCTGGATCGTGTGCTGGAGGTGGGTGGGGCTGGGTGCGCATGGGGGCGGTGTGTGGGAGGCAGGCGGTGTGTGTTTGGCAGGTGTGTATGTATGTGTGAGTGAGTGTGGATGGGTGGGTGGATGGTGGCCGACGCCCCTGCCAGCGCCAGGGCATGGCGGGAGCGCGTGAACTCTCTGCTCATTGCCCGGCCCGGGTGCCTGCTGGGGCAGCTTCCCAAACCGCCTCGCTCATCTGACGCCGCGCCGTTGCTGCCATGCACCACTCGGGTCGCCTGCAGGAGCTCGCCGAGTTTGGCAGGCGGCCCAGCGCCAGGCTGGCAGCCGTGCTGCACCTGGCGGCCGGCCTGTCCAAGCCAGTGGTTCTGCGGGAGAAGCGGGGAGTGGAGGAGGCCGCCCCCGCCGACCCCTCTGCCGCCCCTGCCGCCGCAGCTCGGCTCTTCTGCGCGGCTGTGCCGCTGGAGGGGCCTGTTGAGGTGGAGGCTGCGGCGCGAGCTGCCAGCAGCAGGCTGGGACTCAGGCTGGAGGTGCCTGAGGCGGGCGGGCAGGCGGTCCAGCTGGCGCTGACGTGGCGGAAGGCGCCGCTGGGTGAGCTGGCCGGCGAGGCGCTGGCGGTCGTCAAGCGTCTGCTCATCTCCTGGACCCACTCGCTGGCCACCCGCAGCCTGCCCAGCGCCGCCGTCCAGGCCCTGCGCGACCAGCAGCTGGCGCCGCTGAGGCGCGAGCTGGCGGCGGTGCAGGTGGGGGCGCCCCGCCCTGGTGCATGCCCGGCTGCCCCGGCCGGGGCGGCGCGCTGCACTGCCGCATGCTTTCCCAGCTCCGCGTGCCCCCGCGCCCTCCCCAGCTCGCTCATGCGATGCCGTCCACGCAATGCGCTCACCCCGCCTCTTGCTCCGCTGTGCCTCCCCTCCCCTCCACCTTTCCCCTGCAGGCCCGCGCCAAGGAGCTGCTGCCGCTGGGGCGGGAGGGGTACCGCGCCGCCAGGGCCTCGCTGCTGGAGGCGGCCTCCCTGCTCAACCAGTTTGAGTCGGATGTGCTGGCTGCCGCACTTGACGGCTCCCTCACCAACCACGCCGTCGCCTCCCTCAACCACCAAACCTTCCAGCACCTCAGCAAGGCGGCGATGAGGTGGGCTGGGCTGGGCCGAGGTTGGCTGGGCTGAGCTGGGCTGGGCCGGGCTGCAAGCGGCTGCCGGGTGCGGGGTGGGGCCTGTGTGGGAGTGGCGGCTGTGCTGGGCGCATGCGCTCTGCCCGCCTTCTCCCCCGGTTCGACCTGCCTGCCCCCTTACGCTCTCCATCCCCACCGCAGGAAGAACCTGGGCAAGCGCGTGGGGCAGAACCTGGAGCTTCTGGAGGAGGTGGAGGCGGGGGTGGCGGCCGCGCTGGGCGAGCTGGGCGACCCCGCCACCCTGCAGCCGCCCGGCGGCGCTTGCGCCTCGCTGGGCGCCTGCGCCGTCTCCTGCCTGGACTGGCGCGAGGCGCTGGCGGTGGGCGACTGCCTGTGCCTGGGGCTGGATGTTGAGCGGCCCGAGGCTGCCATCATGGACCCCTCCCGCCTCGTCATCAAGGCCATCCAGCCCACCCGCATCACTGCCGAGAGCTTCATGGACGCCCTCAGCTTCGCCCTGAGCGGCCGCAGCGGTGCAGACGTGCACGGCGGCTTTGGGCGCGGCGCCGGCGCTCGGGTGGTGGCAGGGGAGGGGCGGGAGCCCATCACCGGCGCCCTGCCGCTCTACATCTGCCCGCAGCACTGGTCTGTGGCCAGGCTGCACGCCAAGCCCCTGCTCGCCTGGATGTGCACCCTCAGCCCGCTGGTGAGCGCTTGGCGCCGGCTGCAACAGAAGCGCGGTGCTGCGTCACGCGCAGGCGTGGGCTCGCCGGCCGCGGGCCAGGCACCCGCGCTGTGCCTCGCTCCTGCCCATGCCGTACCCTCAGGTTGCGCCTGCTGAGGGTGACCCGCCCTGCTGCCTGTCCCCTGCTTTGCTCCCGCCCGCCTGCTGCTTGCCGCAGGGGTACGCAGTTGAGCAGGTGCGGACCGTGCCCTTCCTGGTGCTGGCAAAGGCGCTGCGGGACCTCGGGGGCGGCGGGCGGGGCGGCACCAGCTTCAGGGACTGGGCGGCGCAGCAGGTGGGCTCCCCACGCGGGCTGGGCAGCAGCGGAGAGTGGAGGAGTGTGGGTGGGAGTGCGGGTTGGGAGTCAGGTGCGTTGCTTTCACTAGCCTTGCAGAATTGCCCGGGGGTGAAAGGGAGGGCAGCGCTGCTGTCTGCTCTGATGCGCTGCCCCGTTCCTGCGCTGCTCCTGTGCTGCGCAGGTGCTTGACACGTGCATGGCTGTGTACCGAGACTTGCGCCCCCGCCTGCTGTCCGAGCTGTTTGGAGGGCAGGATGAGGCCGGGTGCAGCTGCGGTGCAGCTGCCAGGCGGCTGCGATACCTGGAGGGCGGCCCTGCTGCGCGCACGCTCGATGTGGTGCCCAGCACTGAGGTCTGGCTCATGTGGCTGCTGTGCGCTGTGAGGAGCGGAGACGCGGCGCTCTCGGCAGGTGCGCCGGCAGCGGCATGCTTGCATCTGTCATCATGCGGAGGCTTGAGTGGGGGAGGGAGGCGGTAGATACGAGGGAGGCCAGCCAGGCTGGATCTGTTGGTTCAGCATGGTTCATGGTGGCGCCGCTCCTTTTGTGCTGCCCTGGCTGGGCCCCAGCCATCCCTCGCTCGCTGCACGCACCGCTTCCGCCACCACAACCAGACAGTGCAAGCCACCACACCCTGCCACCTGCCGGCTGCCGCAGAGGACTGCGACGATCTGCGGCTGGCGGTGGCAGAAGAGGAGCTGCGGCGGTGCACGCGCCCGCCGGAGGCTGCTGGGGAGGCCGCCGGCTGCGCGACCTCCGCTGCCGCCATCGCCTCGCTGCTGGGCGTCGACCTGCAGCAGGCGGTGGCTGAGGTGGAGGCCAGGTGGCGCGCTTTCCACCCCGGCTGCGAGTATGCTGACGTGGAGGCGGCTGAGCTGGCCGCTGAGCTGGAGGCTGAGGTGGCGAGCCTGGCAGCTGCGGTGGACTGGCGCGCCCAGCTGGGGCAGGCCGGCAGCCACCCCGCGGTGGCGGCCATGGAGGCTGGCTACCGGCCTTGGGTGCGGCCCCGTCTCGACCTGCTGGCCTGGGTGGAGCAGGTGCGTGGTGGAGGCGGTGGCGCACGCCTGTGCCGTGGTGCATCCAGTTGTGTTGTGCAGGCACGGCAGCCATGGGAGAAGGGGTGCACTGCCCCGGCTGCAGCGGCGACCCACCCGCCCTTCTGTTGCCCTGCCGCCGCCGCAGGCCAGCCTTGGCGGCGAGGCAGCGGGCTGGCCGAGCAGCGCCCGCCAGCCGTGGGCGGCCCCCGAGACGCTGGCGGCCTGGCTGCCCGGCCCGGCGCTGGCAGCGCTGGCGCTTCAAAACGGGGAGGGGGCGCGCAACGCCGACCGCCGCGCCTACATTGCTGCTGGCTTGCATGTGGATCCTTTCAAGCAGCCCGAGGCCCTGCTGCGGCGCTTCTATTGCAAGGTATGGGGGCGGGGGTGGCTGCTGCCTGGGAGGGGGTGTGACTGTTGCTGGCAGGCCAGGCTACAGGACTGCGTGCGAGCATGCCTCGGTTTCATGGGGATTCATGCACGGCAGCCCCGGAAGGTGGAAAGTGCAGGGGCGTTTGCCTTACAATGCATTGCACCTTGGCATCATCGCCCTCACACCTGATCGCTCCGCCACACTACCTGCTGCTTGTTTGCCTGCATGTGCAGGTGGTGTGGGATGCTGTGCGGGCGGGCCTGGGAGACGTGAGGGACGCAGCATACCTGCGCTCTGCGGCCCGCATGGCCGAGGCTTTTGCGGCTGCCGCCAGCCTGGAGGCTGCGGCAGACGCCATCGAGGGCTGGCGCCTGGGCCGGCCTCACGCCCTGCGCCTGCTGCTGGACGCGCTGCGGCGCGCGGGCGGCGCCCCGCTGCCGCTCCCCAAGATGCGGCTGCTGATGAGCTGGGGGCTGGGCCGGCGCCTGCTGCGGGGCGACGAGGACAGGCGCAGCCCCGCGCACGCCGCCGCAGCACTGGGCCAGGCCGCAGCCAAGGTGCAGGCGGAGGTGGAGGTTGGGGAGGCGGGTGGGCTGGGCTCGCCCACCGCCTGGATTCCCTCACGCCGCCACGTCTACCGCTTCCTCCAGGCCAACCACCGCCAGGTGGACCTGCCCGAGGCGCTGGAGCTGTTTGGGGGCTGCAGGGGGGTGGACGAGGCCTACCTGCGCCTGCAGTATGCCGACGGCTTCACGAGCACCGCCAGGCGCAAGGCGTTTCGGGAGTGGCGCGATGCGGCGTGAAGCGGGTGGGGATGAGCGGCGGCAGCAGGCGTGCCCTGCGGTGTCCTTCTGTTTTTTTGTGATGTACCAACTTAGACATTGATCGATTTACACTCTTTGCACACTCACACAGCAAACAATACACAGCTGCTGCAAAACTGGAAGGGGCATCAAGGGTCAAGAGAAGAAGGAGGGGCAAGAGGAGAGCGGAGAGCACAAAGGGGGTAGCAGGAATAAGAGTCGAGCAGCACACAGGCAGCAGCAGCAAGCAGCGGAAGGAGGAACAGGCAAGCGGCGCAGGAACGAACAGCAACACACAGCTGACGTGAAGAGCAGCGGCAGGCCCTTGGCTCATCGAAGCGGCGCCGCGCGGCGCTGGCGCTCTCACACGGCACAAGGGCCGCTGCAGGGGCCCACAGGCGGGCAGCGGCGGAGGGGCGCGGCCACCCCGTCACTTGTCGCCTCGCCGCAGGCTGCGCAGCGTGCCCACAGGGTCGTCCCGCGCATCCGGCGCGCTGCCGCCAAACAAGCCGCCCCCGCTCTTCGGCTGCACAGCAGCAGGGCGGACGGACAGGCAGGGAAGGAGGGTGCAGTTGGCTCAGCCAGGAGGCGCCCCATGGCTGAGCGGCGGGATGGCGCTGGCCCACTGCCTCCTCCCTGCGCCAGCCCGCCATCTGCCCGCAGAGCGTGCCCATGGCCTCCCCCACACCCTCTCTGCCACCACCAACACCGCAACACACCACAAACCACACACACACGCGCGGGGCAGGCGCGCAGGGTAGGCGAGCGGGCAGCGGGCGGGGCCCCACCTGCAGCTCCACTTCCAAGTCCTCCAGGAACGGCGGCGGCCCCACCCGGTTGCCCTCCCAGTTGGGCACGGAGGGCGCGTTGGGCGGCATGAGGTCCGCCGCGCTTCCCGGGTCCGCGGGCTGCACAAAGCCGGTGAGGCGGCCGCCCCGCAGGTCGCGGATGCTGCGCTGCAGCTCACGCACCGGCACCCCGCCAATCTCCTCCACAGTCACCGTGCGCAGGTCGGCGATGTTGCCCACCGGCACCTTGATGACCTGCAGGGGACAAGGGCGGGTGGGTGGTGGTGTGGGGGTTATGTGTGTGTGTGGGGGGGGTGGGGGGTGGGGGTAAGAAGGCATGCAGGCCCCAACGTGCTTCCTCCGCACCTGCACACACCTTTGCACCCCCCGCCAGGTGTAATCCCCCTCGTGCCTCGCCCCCCCCACGCCTGCCACTTCCACGCCCCAGCCACCCCTGCCTCGCACCCCCACCAGCCCCCACGCCCCCACCCCGCCTCCCACCCCCTCACCCTGCCCTCTGCATCCACAAACTCGTTGATCATCTCGCCCTGGGCGTCCACCACGTACACCCCCAGCCGCGGGTCCTCTGTGTCGTAATATATGTTGCCGGCGCGGTCAAACATGAACACGCGCCCCGCGTCGTCCTGTATGTGTGTGTAGGGAGGGGGTGCGCAGGCGTTGTGACGCCAAGGGCCAGCGTGGGGAGGGCCAGCCGGCGTGTGCGTAATTGTGTGTGTGGTGTAGGCATGGTGAGCGCGTGCTAGGCAGGTTCAGCAGATGTGGTTCATTCCATCCGAGCCCAAGCGGCGCCCACCAGCAGCTGGGCAGCCGGGAAGGCAGGCAGGCAGGCAGGCAAGGCGGGCAAGGCACCCCCACCTGCGTGGCCGCCACCAGGTTGCCTCCCTTGGTCTTGAGCAGCGCCACATTGCGCCCCCGGTCCACCGCCGCCAGCGGCATGCCCCCCCTGACAGCAAACCAGTAGGCTGCGGTGCCGCCCAGCATGATGCCAAAGATGCCGCGCCGCGACATGCGCAGCTCGTTTTCCTGCCAGGGTGGGGGGTGGCAGGGGACGGGGTGTGCGCAGCGCAGCACAGCGTTAGGGAGCGGCCCAGCCCTGCATGGCTGCAGTGCTATTAAGGGCGTCCTGTTGTACAACCCCAAACGGCCTGCACATACGACAGCTCTACAGGCAGCGCTGCTCACGATGACGGGCTCTGGCGGCGGCGGTGGCGGCGGCGGCGGCGGAGGGGGCGGCACGCGGGCGGGCGGCGCGGCCGGCACGTTGCGGGCCAGCTCGCGCTCCCGGTCGGTCTGGTAGTTGCTCCTGCATCGGCGAGGTGCATGCGATCAGGCTGCGTGTCGATGGGAGAGCACACTGACTGGTTGGGGAGGGGAGTCTCACAAGGTGCGCAGCGCCCGCCGCCTCGGTGCCCTCCCGAGTATCGCGCATGTCGGCACTGCTGCTGCTGCCGCTGTGCCGCTGGGGGAGGCGGCCTGTCGGAAGCCGATAGTGGTCGACGGCATGGTGCCAATGGCGCGCAATCCACACCCTCCAACCTTTGGTCAAACACTGCTAGACACTGTACAGGGAATGAGCTTGAGGGAGAAATGCATGCATGCGGAACCGCCAGCTCGACAACCCCAACAAGAAGAGCGAGACGGTTACGCCCTCCCCACAGCTCTTCCCTATAAACCCTTCTTCCTGGCAGTCTGCTCGCACTTCCAGGAGCCTCCACAGCTCCGCTCGCTCGCCCCAGCCAGCGCCACAGCGGCTGCCAACCCTCGCGCCCACGATGCAGGGGAGACACACAGCCTCCCAGCCGCTGTTGCAGCCCGCCAGGCCTGGCCGGCGCACCAGGTGCGGCGGTCCTGGGAGCATGCTGGCGCTCTGCCGCCACCGCCCGCCGCCGCCGGCTTGCCGCTGCCCCTGAGCCTGGCAGCCCGCCCCGCCTGGCTCTCCTGCACCTGCCGCAGGCTTTGCACGCAGCGGGTGCGTGCAGCGGCCAAGGAGGCGGCCAAGCCGGCGGCCAAGCCGGCGGCTCCCGCCGGCTGGTCGGGGACGCCGCCCGGCAACGGCAGCGGCGGCGCCGGCAAACTGCAGGCGGCGGATCGCCTGGCGTTCCTGGATGAGGAGGGGCAGGTCATCCACCCCATGCCCGCAGACTACGGCTTCCGCTCCGGCTCCGGCCGCATCTACCAGCAGGTGCGGCGCTCGAACAGCCGCGGGGCCTGCCGCTCGCCCGCCTGCTGCTCGCCTGGCACGCGTCGAGGCCCCCGCCGCCCTGGCCTGCTCCCGGCAGCACTCAAGCCGCAGCACCCTCGCCTCCTTCCCTCTCCTCCCTTCCCACCCGCATCCCCTCCCAGCACTACGGCACCATCCCCAAAAACGTGCTGGCGCTCAGCGTGGACAACTTCAAGCGGGAGCTGCGGGCGGTGCGCCGCGCCGTGCGCTACAACGAGCTGCAGGAGGTGGAGCGGGACGCGACGGCGGCGGCGCAGCGCGGCGGCAGCAGCCCCAACCTGCTCTGCCGCCTGGGCTTTGCGGCGGGGCAGGCAGCGCGCAGGTGGGGGATGCGGGCGAGGACCCGGGCGGCGGCACGGTGTGGCGGCTGCTTGGGGGGCGGGAGTTGGTCAGCCGGCAAGCCTGCCACCGACTCTGCCGCCGACTCTGCTTTGCGGCTGCGCTGCCGCGCTCGCCTCCCTGGCCCCGCGCCGCGCCGACCGTGCTGTGCCGTGCTGTGCCGCGCTGCGCTGCAGCGCCTTGGAGCGCCTGGATGTGTGGCTGGAGCAGCAGAATGTGCTGAATGAGCTCACAGAGGCGCCCAAGACGCAGATGGAGGGAGAGCTCACGCCTGTGCAGCGCGAGGTGCGCGCCCGCGCCCGCCGGGACACGCAGCAGCCGCCGCGCGCAGTCGCCGCCCTGGCACGCAGCAGCAGCCGCGGTGGTGCTGGCGCTCGAGCCCGCCGCCGCTGCACAGCACAGCTGCCGCTGCCGCTGAGAGCCGGTGCCGCCGCCGCGGCCGCCCTGCGTGCTGGCGCAGGTGCTGGCCAAGGTGCGGCAGCTGACGCTGGACGATGGCAAGGTGACGGCGCGGGAGCGGGCGCGGTGGGCGGCGGGCGGCGGGCCCGCCACCACGCCGCCGCTGGCCATCCGCGCCGCCTACGCCTCGCTGTGCTGGGCGCTGGATGTGATGTACGCGGGTCGCCCCATCGAGCGCTTCTGGATCCTGGAGACCGTGGCGCGCATGCCCTACTTTGTCTACATCTCCATGGTGGGCCGGAGGTGGAAAGCGCGGGGTGGACAGCGCGGGGTGGACAGCGCGGGGTGGAAGATGGTTGTTGGGCCCAAGAGCCGGCGAGGCGGACGGCAGGGGTGGCGGTGTAAGGAAAACGTGGGGCGCCGGGCGGGCAGGCCTGCGGTGCTGAGACCTCTGCCGCTGCTGCCGCCCACCCGCTGCCATCCACTCCAGCCGCCCTGCCCCCTTCTCGTCCCCTGCAGCTGCACCTGTACGAGAGCCTGGGCTGGTGGCGGGCTGGAGCCGAGCTGCGCAAGGCAAGGCGCAGCAGCCGCGCCGAGCTCAGCGGCAGCCTCCACGTCTCGCCCCACGCCGCGCCGCCCTCACACCCTCTGCCACGCGTACCGTCCTGCCTTGCTGCCCACCTGCATACCCTTACCACTCCACCACCACACCCGCACCCACATCACACACACATCCATACACACCCGCACACTCACACCACGCATGCCCGCTGCAACCACCACCACCAACCAAGAACCCCCCCCCTCCCCCCCGCCCCCCGCCCCCCCGCCCGCTCCGCAGGTGCACTTTGCGGAGGAGTGGAACGAGCTTCACCACCTGCAGATCATGGAGGCGCTGGGCGGGGACCTGCGCTGGGGGGACCGCTTCCTGGCAGAGCACGCCGCAGTCTTCTACTACTGGTGAGGCCGCCCGCCAGGCTACTTGCGGCCTGCCTGCGGCCCGTACAAATGCGGCCTGCAGCCCGTCGTGCGGGGCCTACGGCCCGCCACGTGTGGCGGGCCTCTGCGAAGGCTGGCCATCACGGTACCTTACGGTACCGCGGCCTGCCTGCTGTGGTCCTGGCGCAGGGCGCTGGTCCTCATCTACCTCATCTCTCCGGCCGCATCCTACCAGTTCATGGAGATGGTGGAGGTGGGTGGGGGGAGCTCAGCAGGGTGGGGTTGCGATGGGCCGGGGCAGCGCACATTAGCTAGCTGCCTCTCGCCTGGCACGCCCAGCCTGTGTGCTCTTGAGCCGCCACGGCCAGGGCTGGCCCCGCACCCAGCGAGGGGCATGCAGGTCTCGTGGCGCGTGCACACCTGCTTGCCCCGCACCCACCCACTCGCTCCCGCTCCCGCCCCACCCGCCCCTCCCCTCCCCATGCGCCAGGGCCACGCCGCCGACACGTACGCCGAGTTTGCGGAGCAGAACCGGGAGCGGCTGCAGGCCATCCCGCCGCCGCTGGTGGCGCTGGCGTACTACAAGAGCGGCGACCTGTACCTGTTCGATCAGTTCCAGACCAGCTGGAAGGCGGCGGGGGAGCTGCGCAGGCCGCGGTGCAAGTGAGGCCGGCGCCGGGGCCGGGTGCGGGGCGGGCGGGCGGGCGTGTGTGTGTGCGCATGTGTGCGTGTGCGTGTGTCGGGGCTGGGGCTCCGGTTCCACCAGCGCACCTTGCATGTGCTGCCTGCCTGAGATCGAGTGATGCACCCGGCGGTGGCGGCCGGCCTGCTGACTGGGTCGCTGCACGTACCGCCTGCTGTACCGCCTGCAGCAACCTGTACGATGTGTTCATCAACATCCGGGACGATGAGCTGGAGCACGTGAAGACCATGGCGGCCTGCCAGGTGGGGCGTGCGGGTGCAGGTGGTGGTGCGGCCCCCACAGTCGTGGCCGGCTGGGCGGGCCAGCCAGGGCTGCTCATATGTGTGGTGCATGCGGCTAGCCCGTGCCTGGCTCCGTCTCATCATGTCCCAACGCGCCGGCTTCCCCGCACGTCGCCTGCGCCTGCAGGACGGCAGCATTGCGTTGGACCTGGAGGTGCGCTGGGCCCCAGCAGCTCCCGCCCCTGTGTCGCCCTGCACCATGCGCCGCTGCCCTGCCAGCACCGGGAGTGCTGCGCCGCGCCCAAGTAGGCAGCAGTGTGCTGAGTGCTGTGTGTGCGCGTGCCTGCTGCCCCACGCTTGCCGCCTGCAGAATGCCGAGGCGCTTGCGGAGCTGGCCAGCAAGGAGAACATCGCCACGCTGGCGCCTTGGGAGGAGGAGGAGGAGACGGATGGCAGCAAGTCCAAGCAGCTGCGCTAGCCGGGTGGCAGGCATGGCTGGGACGACGGACTGGCAGGCCAGGCCGTCGATTGATTCGTGGCCATGCCTCCTCGGCACGGAGGGTGGCCTCACGCAACGCATTCTAATTACGTAACGATGTCTCAGGCCTAATGGATATACACGCATTGAATGAGTATCCTTTGTGTGCAACTAGATTGTACTTGCACCCCACGCACTGTTTTGCTGCTTGCCCTTGTCCTGTGGGCGCCGGCTGGTGCCAGCTGCCCATGCGTGCGCTTTCGATGCATACCTCGTGCCCGCCCCAAGCAAATGACGCTCATGATACCAACCCCTTACTGCCTACCCTTCTTTCTGCTCGCCTGCGTCATGCAATGCTGCAATTGTTTTTTTTGGTCGAATCTTCGTAATTAGACTTGCCAATGTGGCACCACCAGGTGCCCAGAAGGACGTGTGGTGGGCCCTGAAATCGTGGGATGAACGGCCGCAGCTTCCTGGGCGGCGGTGCCTGTCTTCCAAGCGGCGGCTGGCGTCGGTGGGTTCGCCTGCTTGCTCATGGCACGCAACCATGATTTGATGAAGTCTGCGTCGTTCACAACAGTGAAGCATGCCCGAGGTGCACCTCCACATACCCAACATGTTGCAGCTACCGCCCAGAAGCGGACCGCCACAGCATGGCGCAGCAGGCAGAGCAGTTGGGGGGCGGAGCTGGCCGTGACACTGTCTTTCATCTCTGGGTGGCGGGCACTAACCCGAAGGCTCCTCTAGGGCCATCTGATCGTGCGTTTCCTCGCAGGTGCGCCTTCCAACTGGAGGATCTGTCGGGAATGGTGTGCCTGCCGTCCCCCCCGCCCATCTGAAAGTGCTTCCGAGCCGTCTTGATCAGTTAATCTGTCGCTGCGGTGTCTACAGCCGCCCCCATGGTTGGCCGTTTCCGACCATGACGCGGCCTGCCTGCTCCCACCTGCCCCTGCAGCTCGTCCCGCCGCCCAAGACCTCTAGCCAGCACCGGATGGCGCGCTGCAGCGGGGCCGCCCGCCGGGCGGCGCTGCTGCTGGCTGCCGCCGCGCTGCTGGCCGGCCTTGGCGGCGCGGCGGCGTTGGACCCGGACGAGCAGGCAGTGCAGCAGATGCTGCGTGGCATGCTCGAGGTGGCGGAGGAGATTAACACCGGCAAGGAGGTGGAGTCGAGGGTGTCTGCCATGGCCGCCCCCGCCAACCTCGACTCCGTCAATGCCTCGGACATCCAGGCCAAGGTGCTTTTCTGCACTGCCAGCGCTGGGAGAGGCTGCCGGCATGCAGGCAGCAGCAGGATGCTTCGGCTTGCTGCTGGGCGCTGCCAGTCCACGCCGCGGTAGCTTGCCCAGGAGGCTTGTAGAGCCGCTGCTGCCCCCGCTCCCCCCGCCGCCCGCTGCAGCTGTTTGCCTCGGCGGTGGTCACATGGCAGCTGGGCGTGTGGGACTCCCCGTACAACAAGGGCCTGATCCCCAAGAAGATGCTTTTCTACGACCTCGTCCACTACTACCAGGTGGGGAGAGAAGGGCCCCCCACTGTGGGAGAGGGGCAGGCGGGGACAAAGCATCAAGAGCAGGGAGCAGCGCACGGATGGATGGGCGACAGCTGGGAGCAGCCCCCATGTGACTGGCAGTGAGGTGCGCCTGTGCCAAGCCTCCCTCCTGGCCTTGCTGGGCGGGGGAACGGGTTGGGAGTAGCTGAGCGCCGTTGCTGCCCCCGCCTCTGCCGCCTGCCGTTGGCGCAGGTCCCGGAGAAGCCCATCGGCACGGTGAGCCCTCGCTGCTGATTCTGCGCCCGATGATAGAATGCTACATCAGGAGTTGGATGGATCTCCTCCTTTTCAGAACTTGCACTGCTGAGTCAGCTCATCAGCCCCATGGCACCATCCAGGTGGAAATGGGCATGAAACATTCACGCGCCTCCTGGCCCCCGCCTGCCGCAGCTTGTGATGTTCCACGGCTGCTACCACGACGCCTCTGGCAGCTGGCCCTACCACCCCAAACACTGCCGAGAGTGCCTGGGCCTGCCGGAGGAGGTGGCGCACACCAAGCAGGCGAGCGCAGGCCCCGCTTGTAAGCAGCTCTCACGCCGCCTCCCCACGCCTGGCCGCTCACCCGCTGCGTGCCCCTCTGCCGCCGCAGGCGCTGGCCCACGGCTTTGCGGTGCTGGCTGTGGAGTCCCGCAACCGCAGCCGCAAGGGGCGCTGCTTCAGCTCAGGGACTGACCCGATGACTAGTGACCAGTGGACAGCGCCCTACACCATACAGGTGTGGAGAGGCGGGGAGGCCGCAGGGGCCTGGGGGTGCAGGGGCGTGTCATGTGCCAGGGCAGGCTGCGCAGGACGACAGGAAGCGGGTCGATGGATGCACCGCTGGTCGGGCAGGCAGATGAGAGCGGACCCTGGGGGGTTGCTCGCCACACGCCGCAGCCCGCCCGGGGGTCTGGCCGCCGTGCGCTGGCTCCCAGCCGCTTGCTCACGCCTGCGGCTGCCGGCGGGTGCCCACAGAACTTCCTGTACGAGACGGGGCTGCAGAACCTGCCCGTTTACACCCTGGGCATCTCCGCGGGCGCCGCCTTTGCCACCAAGGTCATCAAGAACTTCTGGGATCCCAACTTTGGCGGCATCATCAAGCCCGCGGGCATCATCTCGGGTGCGCGCAGGCCGGGGGGCACAGCCGCGGGGCACCATGGTGACTGCATCCAGTGCCGGGCCGGGTGCAGCGGGCGAGATCCATCTGGTCCTCTTGTGACGGGGCAGGAGCGCTTCTACTGGTGTGAAGCGCCAGGAGCACGCTGACAGGCAAGCGCGTGATCCTCCTCCCTGCCTGCCCCGCTGCCCGCAGAGGTGAATGCGCCGTCCAGCTGGCGGTCGTGGGGGCTGGAGGGCAAGGACGGCAAGCTCAAGTTCCCTGACTTCCCTCCGGTGGCCTTCATCGCCATGGAGGTGAGGCTCTTGCCACCAGGAGAAGGGAGCAGCACGCCATGCCTGATGGGCTTGGGCGCGGTGCATGGCATGCAGCCACACTCGTTGCCCTCAGGGCTGCCCACGCGCATTTCTGAGGGCGGGCCCGGGCCCGAGGTCTTGCTGCAGAGGGACAACAGGACCTTCAACCGGATACTGGACAGAATACAGGACCTAAGGCGGTTCAATGTTCCAGCAGATTACATCATGGTGGGTGGCGCGGTGCTGATGAGTGCGGGCACGGGTGGCCGCTTGCTGCCATGTGCCTCCTCGCCCTGCCCTGCATGCCCCCTTCTGGCAGTGGTGGTGCCCCTTCCTCTCCCGCCCCGTCCTGCCCCTTCCCACTCACATGCGCTCCCTGGCCCGACCTGCACACGGGCCTTCACCCCGCAGGTCAAGTCTCGCCCCGTGGACCGCCTCTGGTTCTACAACCGCTCCCCCGTCATCACCGCCCGCCAGTCTGCGGAGATTGTGCGGGCCATGAAGCGGCTGGGCTTCCTGGACGCCGACGGCAACCTGAAATACGACCCCCGCATCGGAGCCCTGGTGGGTGCCGCTGCTGGAGGCCGCTCTTCTGGTCTGAGCGGGCGAGAGCAAGCGTGCAGACGGATGCGGATGTGTTGCATACCACACCACACCAACCGCAGCGGCTGTCACGCCCGGCTGCCACGCCCGGCTGCCTGCAGACGGACAACAACCCGCTGGCCAAGTGGAACAGGAAGCTGGTCGGGAGGGTGGACTGGCTGCACATGAGCCCCAGCAAGGCCCCCATGCTCAGCGTCCTATCAGACCGCAGCACCATCTTCGAGGGTGAGGGCGGGGTGCTGGCGGGGCAGGGGTCGCCGCTCACCGCCGCCGCCACACAACCCAGCCAAAAACCACCCCATCTGCCGCTGCCTGCGCGCGTGCCGCCGCCCTCTGTGCAGAAATGAACGTGGCATGGGCGTACCATGAGGGCGTGGCAGACCACATGGTCCCCTGCCTGATGTGGCTGAGGTCTGGCGGCGAGCTGGACCTCAAGTACCTGGCCCGCAAGCTGGGCGTGGATCGGCTGAGGGACCTCACGATGAAGCGCGTGCACTGGAAGCCGCCGCCGCCGCCGCCCAGGCCAAGTGCGAAGCGGCGCCCGCCGCCCCCGCCCAAGAAGCGGCCCCCGCCCCCGGCACCCAGGAAGAGGCCGCCGCCGCAAAAGAAGGGTCGGTGCTGCCGCCGACCACAGCATGCTCAGCACGTGCAGCGCCAGGATGCGTTTGGCAAGCCCCCAGGCCCCCCCTGTGCAGCTTCCTCCAGCACCACCAACGTGTCCTGCCCGCCTCGCATCACCCCTGCTGTGCAGCGCGTCGTGCCATGGAGTAGACGGGAGATGCGGCCCCGTTGTCAGCCACACCACCTTACCTTCTTGCAGCTGGAGAGTGATCTTGTTGAGTGCGGGCAGCCCCATTCAGTATTGCAGCCTGGCATCCGATCCCTTAGAGTCATCACCCGTATCCGTTTCTCTCTTGCGGTACAACCCTCTTGAATTATCTTGCGCATTTGCAATGCTGCGGCTGTCGTCGCTTGCCATGCCTCTGAGCAGAGGCGCCATCTAGGCCATGTGGACTTGGCTTTGGTTACCAAGGGAGCAGGAGTCCCTTTGGAAGGCTGAGGGCAAGTGAAAAATAGGGAACGTGAAAAAAATGGAGAGGAGAAAGAGAGAAGCAAGCAAGGCAGGAACAGGGGGCAGCTCATAGGCATTATCAGTTGCTCACGTGTGTAATCAGTCACTCTAGGGGCGCGTAAAGACAGCGGGCTGCCTGCCAATTGGGCAGCGGCCTAGGCAGAACATGTAGGTGGGTGTGTGAGGTAGGGATGTGGTACAGCTGGAGGTGCTGCCGCAGGCAGGCCGAGGCAGCGCGCTGCGGCACCTCGGAGGCTTGCTGCTGCAGCAGGGCCAGGTGGCGCCTCAGTTGTCTCCCAACCACGACTCTGACGCGTCGCTGGCTTGTGTGAATGTGCTGTCACGGTTCACGCCGCCACGGGGCGTGTCCATGCTGCCGCGCCGGCTGCTGCTGGTGCGCCCAAAGCCGCTGCTGGAGTATTGCTGCAGGATCTGCTGCAGGGTCATGCCGCAGGTGCCGCCATAGCCGCCCAAGCCGGCGGCAGAGCCACGGGGGCTGCCGCCAGCGGCGCCGCCGCCATGTAAGGTGCCGTTCCCGGGGCTGGCGGGCGCCTGCCGCGGCGCCAGGCTCAGGACAGGGCTGCCCGCGCTGGTGGTGCGACCCAAAGAGGCGAATGGGCGCGGTGGCGGCATCCCCACCGGCTGCTGCAGCAGGCTGCTGGCACCCAGGGGGCTCAGCGGCTCGTGGCGCGGCAGCAGGCTGATGGGGGAAGGAGGGTCGGCATTGCTGCAAGGCCGCAGGTGGAAGGGGCTCAGCGGGCTGCTGCGCGGCCGCAGGTCGATGGGAGACGGCGGCTCGAAGCGCGGCAGGAGGTCGATGGGGGATGGTGGCTCGGGGCCCGGCATGGTGAAATCTACCGCCGCTCTTGCCGCAGGCGAGCCCTCCGCGCTGCTCACCGAAGGCTCGTAGTCGTTCTCCGACGGCGGACGACACAGCCGGGAAGGGTTGGGGGACAGCGGCGGCCGGCGCGACGCCCTGGCGGCCGCGGGCGCAGCCGCGGTGCTCGCCGCGCCGGCCGACGGCTGGCCGGCTGCGGCGGTGTCCGAAGCTGACGCGCTGCGCTGGATGCTCTGCAGCGCGGTCTTCAGGAGCAGCGTAGCGGCAGGTGGGGAGGCAGGGGCGCCCGCAGCTGCGGCCGGGTGCGGTGCTGGCGCCAGCTCTGGCACCGCCGCAGGATGTTCCACCCCTTCTAAGCTGCTCACGCCTTCTAAGCTGCTGCGGCTTGCGGACTGAATCAGCGCCTGCAGCCACGCAGGGTTTGAGCAGGCAGGGGTTGGGCAGGCCCGAGGGACGCCGGCCAACGCAGGCAGGCCACCAAGCCGCGGGGCACTGCACGGCAGCCTGCTGCCGCCTGCGAACAGTGGCCGCCCCTTTCCGCTCGCCACCAAGGCACCCACACAACTTGGTTTCCCGCCGTTGCTACCACAGTCTGCCCACCTTTGTGACTATGCCAGGCGGCTGGTTCAGCAGCACGCGGCGGAAGTCTTCGTACGAGAGAGAGCGGGAGGAGGGAGGCGAGGAGGCACGATCGCTGCCGCCGGGGCTGCTGCCGCCGCTGGCCGCCCCCCACAGCTCATCCGCCTGCGCCGCATCCATGCCCACCTCCTTGAGGACCTGCGAACAGGGCAAATGGCGGCACGGCAGGGCGGCGCCGCACGCGGGGGAGATGTGTGGCAACGGGCGGAGCCATGACGACCGCGCTGGACACATTCCGCCAGGCCGCTCCGCTTCGCTGCGCTCCCCAACATGTGTTGGCCGCCCCTCCAGCGACGCGCGCACCATCACCATGCACACACCATTACCAACCCCCCATCACTAGGGGACACACACATCGCCGCCTCCACCGAGCCGCACCACACTCTCCCAGCCCCACCCGCCCACCTGAACCACATCCGTCTCTGTGATCGCCCCGTTGCGGCCGTGGTCGAAAAACTCGAACGCCGCCCGCAGCTTGGTCTCGGTCAGGTGCTGCTCCTCCAGGCAGGCTGCAGGAGGGAGGGAGGGAGGGAGGAGGGTCGAGTGTTTGCGCGGAGGAAGAGGGGAGGGAGAGAGTGCGAAGGGCGAGGCGAGGCAGGGATGCTGCCTCAGCCTGGCACAGGCACAGGGCTCAGGGTCGGGCAGGGACAGGATCAGCCAGGGGGCGCGGCCACAACCCCACCCGCTGCCAGCCCCAGCCCAGCAGCCCCAGAAACCCTCCTGCCCACCTGCCAGGAACTCGTCGTACTCAATCACGCCATGGTGGCGGATGTCCAGCGCCTCCAGCAGCGCCCGAAGCTCCGCCTCCCCCACCTCCTTGCCCATGTGCCGCATCGCCTCCTGCAGCTGCACCAGGCTGATGGTGCCCGTGGCCTCCTCGTCCAGCTGCTGGAACAGCTGGCGCAGGCTTTCCACCTCGCCGGGCTCCATGTGGCGTGCCACCACCAGCATCGCCAGCTGGCGGAAGCTGCTGGCAGCTGTGGGTACGGGACGGGGGAGGCAGGGCGCAGGGGAGGCGAGGGGAGGAGGCTGAGAGCGAGGTGAGGGAAAGAGCGGCAGGCCAGGGGCGCAAGCTTGCAGGCCTCGGCTACAGACCCCGCCGCCTGCCCGCTCTGCGTCCAGCTGGCCACAGCGCACAGCGTGGGGAGCGCCCACCTGAGAACTGGTGCACATCCTGCACCCACTGCTCCAGCTCCAGAGGCTCCGCCTCCGCCCCGGCCATCAGCAGTTGCTGCAGGGAGAGGGGCAGGATGGCAACAGGCGCGAGGCGGGTCAAGAGGGGCAGCCACGCAAAGCCGGCGCAGCGAGCGGGCAGCATGCGCCAGGCCGCTGCTGCACCAGTCCTCCTCCGCATCGCCCGCCCCTCACCGACTGCCCCTCACCGCTCCCCTGACCCCCCTCCAGCCCTCATCTCTGATGCCAACCCCTCATCAGCCTGCCCCTCGCTCCTGGCCAACCCCTCCCCCCCCCGTGCCAAACTGCCACACGTGGCTCACCCCCACCCCCACCCCCCGCTCACCGAGAACGACTTGGCTGACACCATGCCCTGGCTGTCCAGCGCGCCCTCCCGCCGCATCAGCCGCGCCAGCGTGTCGGCGCGGATGCTGACGTGGCACTCCTCCAGCGCATCCTTCAGGTCCCGCACAGTGATGAGCCCGTCGCGGTCCGTGTCCAGCTCGGCTGCGGGGCGGGGCGCGGCAGGGGGGCGGTGAGGAGAGAGAGAGAGTGTGTGTGTGTGTATGTGTGGTGCGAAAATGGAGGGGAGGGAGAGTGCAGGTATGTGCGATGGTGGGTGGCAGGAGGGGGCAGGCAGAGGCAGGGGCAGCAGCAGCAGGGCAAGCAGCAGAGGCACGGTAGCAGACGCAGCCGGCAGTGTCAAAGAAGACGCTCGTCGCGCGGCCCGGTCCGGCCCCGCCTGCCACTGCCCACCAAAGACGGCGTTGACGGTCTTGGCGTTCAGCACTTTGCGCTGGTCCAGGGCCGCGGCAATGAACTCCTCCACATGCACCTGCGGCGGGCAGGCAGGCAGGTGTGGGCGTGCGCATAGCATGCATATGTGTGTGTGTGTGAGGGCGGCATCTCTCGAGCCCGCAGGCGCGGTCGCCTGCGCCTGCCGCCACCCTTCCCCGCCACGCCACGCCACGCCCACGCCCACGCCACCCACCGCTCCGTGGTGTGCCAGGTCCAGGCCCGCCAGCAGGCTGGAGATGCCCGCCTGCTCCAGCTCCAGGCCCGCGTGCTGCAGGGCGACCGTCAGGTCGTGCAGGTTGATCTCGCCGTCGGCGTCGGCGTCGACAAAGTGGAAGATCTGCAGGGCCCGAAGCAGGGGGAGGTGCAGGTGTGTGTGTGTGTGTGTGTGTGTGCGGCTGATGCAGCTGTCGTTGTTGTGACAACAACTACATATGTGTGAGTGTGTGAGCGAGCGTGTGTGGCGATGTGGCGGTGCGCCGGCCGGCGGGGCAGCGGCGCTGGCGCCTGCGACCTGCGCGAGCGGGCGCCCGCCCACCTTCCTCAGCCCGCCAATCTCCTCGTCGCTCAGGTGGTGCGCCGCCACCGTCATCAGCAGGCACTTGACGCGGTTCTGGTGGGTGAAGCCCTGCAGGCGGCTGATGATCTCTGCCAGGCGGGAGGGCGGCGGGGAGG